CCATCGTAATCTGCTAAGCGAAAATCTGGGACTGTTACTGAGTTATCGCTACTAACGTACTTCCATTCAATGCTTTAAAAGTAATTGATTTGTGGTCGCTAGCACCCAGTTCCTCTGAAATTTCTAAATTATTAACAAGGGATTCATTTTTGCCATAACTAAGTCAAGCAGGTTATTTCCCCCTTTTAGGGTTTTGTTTACAAACTGGGTTCAAAAAACAATCCTGAAATACTTCTAAGAAGTCGTATGATTCTAAATTCCCAGTCAAGAAAAATTCCAATCAACATGACTAAAGTTAAAGTCTCCTAAAATTACTACATTATCGTGCCTTTTTGGGGCCTTAACAATTTCCCCCCATAGTAGTTTCCCTTTGGGCCCTATCTAAGTTTGGGGGACGGTATAAACACTCCTAAAATCAGTTTTTCATGCCCCTCTGAAAATTCTATCCAAACAGACTCTGTATGTGTTACTTCAGACTTAATACCCGTTTTTATGCAACAGTTCAAGCGATCTCGGATATACAATGCCACCCCACCCCCCCTCCCAATACTTCTATCTTCTTGGAACAATTTAAAACCTGAATATGAACATTCCGCAGCATGTCCCGACTTTTTGAATTAAACCACGTCTCAGTTAAGGCAAATACATCAATGTTACCTACACTAGCAACTAATCTCAACTCGTCCATCTTATTCCCCAGCACTACGGCAATTAGCATAATAAACATTTAAAGACCTCCTTTCTCTTTACCCTTCCTGCTCATTTCTATTTTTCTACTAAACCTATTACTGTCCTTATCACCCAAGGTCCCTGCTTTTCAAAATCTATCTCGTTCTTTTTATTACTAGTTCCCCTAGAACTCGTAATATTACTACACTGGGACTTCACTGCTTTCCTGCCAAAACCCATACCACTAACTATTCCTAGTTTAAAGTCCTAACTGCTCCCTCCACTGCAGTTGCCAGTGCTCCCACCCCACACCTAGATAAGTGAACCCCATCCCTAGCAAACATGTCATTTCTGCCATAGAAGAGGTCCCAGTTGTCAATGAATGTTACTGCATTTTCCTTACAGGCTTTGCATTTACCATTTCTTTTATGCAGGTATTTGTACTGTTTACATGTATTTGGTCGGGCATTTGTAGTACAATTGTTTAAAACAGATTTTTTACTATTTACAGGTAGTATATAGACTGGGATTTTCAATACTGTATTTTTTTTTTTTTTTTTTTTTTTTTAACAAGTCAGCCGTCTCCCACCGAGGCAGGGTGACCCAAAAAAGAAAGAAAATCCCCAAAAAGAAAATACTTTCATCATCATTCAACACTTTCACCACACTCACACATTATCACTGCTTTTGCAGAGGTGCTCAGAATACAACAGTTTAGAAGCATATACGTATAAAGATGCACAACATATCCCTCCAAACTGCCAATATCCCAAAAACCCCTCCTTTAAAGTGCAGGCATGTACTTCCCATTTCCAGGACTCAAGTCCGACTATATGAAAATAACCGGGTTTCCTGAATTCCCTTCACTAAATATTACCCTGCTCACACTCCAACAATCGTCAGGTCCCAAGTATCATTCGTCTTCATTCACCCTATCTAACACGCTCATGCACGCTTGCTGGAAGTCCAAGCTCCTTGCCCACAAAACCTCCTTTACCCCCTCTTTCCAACCCTTTCGAGGATGACCCCTACCCCTCCTTCCTTCCCCTATAGATTTATATGCTTTCCATGTCATTCTACTTTGATCCATTCTCTCTAAATGACCAAAAACCCCCTCAACAACCCCTCTTCTGCCCTCTGACTAATGCTTTTATTAACTCCACACCTTCTCCTAATTTCCACACTCCGAATTTTCTGCATAATATTTACACCACACATTGCCCTTAGACAGGACATCTCCACTGCCTCCAAACCCTCTCCTCGCTGCTGCATTTACCACCGAAGCTTCCACATCCATATAAGAGTGTTGGTACTACTATACTTTCATACATTCCCTTCTTTGCCTCCATAGATAACGTTTTTTGACTCCACATATACCTCAACGCACCACTCACCTTTTTCCCTCATCAATTCTATGATTAACCTCATCCTTCCCTAAACCCATCCGCCGACACGTCAACTCCCAAGTATCTGAAAACATTCACTTCTTCCATACTTCTCCTCCCGAATTTGATATCCAATTTTTCTTTATCTAAATCATTTGATACCCTCATCACCTTACTCTTTTCTATGTTCACTTTCAACTTTCTACCTTTACACACATTCTCAAACTCATCCACTAACCTTTGCAATTTTTCTTTAGAATCTCCCATAAGCACAGTATCATCAGCAAAAAGTAACTGTGTCAGTTCCCATTTTGAATTTGATTCCCCATAATTTAATCCCACCCCTCTCCCAAACACCCTAGCATTTACTTCTTTTACAACCCCATCTATAAATATATTAAACAACCATGGTGACATTACACGTCCCTGTCTAAGACCTACTTTTACCAGGAAGTAGTCTCCCTCTCTTCTACATACCCTAACCTGAGCCTCAATATCCTCATAAAAGCTCTTTACAGCATTTAGTAACTTACCACCTATTCCATATACTTGCAACATCTGCCACATTGCTCCTCTATCCACTCTATCATATGCCTTTTCTAAATCCATAAATGCAATAAAAACTTCCCTACCTTATCTAAATACTGTTCACATATATGCTTCAATGTAAAATCTTGATCTACACATCCCCTACCCACTTTGGAGCCTCCCTGCTCATCCGCAATCCTACATTCTGTCTTACCTCTAATTCTTTCAATTATAACCCTACCGTATACTTTTCCTGGTTTGCTCAGTAAACTTATTCCTCTATAATTTTTACAATCTCTTTTGTCCCCTTTCCCTTTATATAAAGGGACTATACATGCTCTCTGCCAATCCCTAGGTACCTTCCCCTCTTTCATACATTTATTAAACAAAAGTACCAACCACTCCAACACTATATCCTCCCCTGCTTTTAACATTTCTGTCATGATCCCATCAGTTCCAGCTGCTTTACCCCCTTTCATTCTACATAATGCCTCACGTACCTCCACCACACTTACATTCTGCTCTTCTTCGCTCCTAAAAGATGGTATACCTCCCTGGCCAGTGCATGAAATTACCGCCTCCCTTTCTTCCTCAACATTTAAAAGTTCCTCAAAATATTCTCGCCATCTACCTAATACCTCCCTCTCCCCAGCTACTAACTCCCCTACTCTGTTTTTAACTGACAAATCCATATTTTCCCTAGGCTTTCTTAACTTGTTTAACTCACTCCAAAAAATTTTTTTATTTTCATTAAAATTTCTTGACAGTGCCTCTCCCACTCTTTCATCTGCTCTCCTTTTGCACTCTCTCACCACTCTCTTCATCTTTCTTTTACTCTCCATATACTCTGCTCTTCTTATAACACTTCTGCTTTGTAAAAACCTCTCGTAAGCTACCTTTTTCTCTTTTATCACACCCTTTACTTCATCATTCCACCAATCACTCCTCTTTCCTCCTGCCCCCACCCTCCTATAACCACAAACTTCTGCCCCACATTCTAATACTGCATTTTTAAAACTATTCCAACCCTCTTCAACCCCCCCACTACTCATCTTTGCACTAGCCCACCTTTCTGCCGATAGTCGCTTATATCTCGCCCGAACTTCCTCCTCCCTTAGTTTATACACTTTCACCTCCCTCTTACTTGTTGTTTCCACCTTCCTCTTTCCCATCTACCTCTTACTCTAACTGTAGCTACAACTAAATAATGATCCGATATATCAGTTGCCCCTCTATAAACATGTACATCCTGGAGCCTACCCATCAACCTTTTATCCACCAATACATAATCTAACAAACTACTTTCATTACGTGCTACATCATACCTTGTATATTTATTTATCCTCTTTTTCATAAAATATGTATTACTTATTAATAAATCTCTTTCTACACATAGCTCAATTAAAGGCTCCCCATTTACATTTACCCCTGGCACCCCAAATTTACCTACTACTCCCTCCATAACATTTTTACCCATTTTAGCATTGAAATCCCCAACCACCATTACTCTCACACTTGATTCAAAACTCCCCACGCATTCACTCAACATTTCCCAGAATCTCTCTCTCTCTCTCCTCTACACTTCTCTCTTCTCCAGGTGCATACACGCTTACTATAACCCACTTTTCACATCCAATCTTTATTTTACTCCACATAATCCTTGAATTTATACATTTGTAGTCCCTCTTTTCCTGCCAGAGCTTATCCTTCAACATTATTGCTACTCCTTCTTTAGCTCTAACTCTATTTGAAACCCCTGACCTAATCCCATTTATTCCTCTCCATTGAAACTCTCCCACCCCCTTCAGCTTTGTTTCACTTAAGCCAGGACATCCAGTTTCTTCTCATTCATAACATCCACAATCATCTCTTTCTTATCATTTGCACAACATCCATGCACATTCAGACTTCTCACTTTGACAATTTTCTTCTTATTCTTTTTAGTAATCTTTACAGGAAAAGGGATTACTAGCCTATTGTTCCCGGCATTTTAGTTGACTTTTACAACACGCATGGCTTACGGAAGAAAGATTCTCATTCCACTTCCCCATGGATATAAAAGGAAAAGTAATAAGACCAAGAACTATTAAGATAAAATCAAAGAAAACTCAGATGAGTGTGTATAAATAAACGTGTACATGTATGTGTAGTGTGACCTAAGTGTAAGTAGAAGTAGCAAGACATGCCTGTAATCTTGCATATATATGACACAGACAAAAGACACCAGCAATCCTACCATCATGTAAAACAATTACAGGCTTTTGTTTTACACTCACTTGGCAGGACGGTAGTACCTCCCTGGGCGGTTGCTGTCTACCAACCTACTACCTATAAAAGGAACTGTTGGTGTGGCTGTTATAACCTGTCCAGTACAGTATATGTATATGTATTTACATATTTTTATTTCTACATCTATAGGCACAAAAATGGACCTAAGAGAAGACAAGGAGACTCTAGCACTCCTATCTGACCAGGGACAATCTCCAGTTAAGAGAGAAGCAGGCCAAAAACTAGCAAATAAAATCAGAGCTGTGAAATACATGGAATGCTCAGCACTAACACAACGAGGACTAAAGCAGGTATTACTGTTGTATGACTGAATTTATTTCTTTTTCCATACCATCCCCATTGCATACATACTTTTTTTTTTTTTAATCATCAGTTTTTCACCAAGGTAGATTGGCCAAAAGTAGAAAATGCAGTCATTTTCTGCTTATTAATTATGTATTAATGCAAGTACTACATGTTACCTCCAAACTAAAAAGAATATAACCACTTTCCCAAAATATATTAGATGTTACAGTTTTATACTCACTAACAACATGTTAAAACGACATCTTCTAACATACATTCTTTCAGTACTGATTGTATGCCTCCTTACAACTCTTTCTCAGATACCTTTTACACTTCCATTCACAACTGATTTATGCACCACCTTCCATTCCCCTCTGATTGAAGGACCCCCTTCCATCCACCTCTGATTTATGCACCACCTTCCATTTGCCTCTGATTTATGCACCACCTTCCATTTGCCTCTGATTTATGCACCACCTTCCATTTGCCTCTGATTTATGCACCACCTTCCATTTGCCTCTGATTTATGCACCACCTTCCATCCACCTCTGATTTATGCACCACCTTCCATTTGCCTCTGATTTATGCACCACCTTCCATTTGCCTCTGATTTATGCACCACCTTCCATTTGCCTCTGATTTATGCACCACCTTCCATTTGCCTCTGATTTATGCACCACCTTCCATTTGCCTCTGATTTATGCACCACCTTTTATTCACCTTTGATCTATATACCCTCTTTATCGAACTTTCTTGCTCAATTTTTCTACATAGTCCAACCATTTTTAGTTCTACACTCAATACCTTTCATACTACAATAATATCTTATTATTTCTCTATTCCTGTTTTTCATCCATTAAGGTATATTCTTAAGATGTAAAGATATCTAAATGCTCTTGCAACCTTTTCTTATCATTTCTGGGATTTATCTAATCTTTCAATGACGAGTATATGCTGACATATCCACTACCAAGTACAGTATCGTAATGCATTGACTTTCTCCATTCTCCCTTCCAATCTGACATCTAGTCTTCCATTCCTTGTACGTACAGCAGATTCTCAAAAGAAGCAGAGGTTACATTGCCTAATAGGTTGTGCTGGTCATCTGGACCATTTCTATAACATGCACTGTCTCAAAGCACATCTATCACCTGCGTTTTCTTTTCCATTGTAATAGCTTCTTGTTTAATCTTTCCTTGGTGCTTTCAGGCATTACTGGTGTTCTCCTTAGGTGCTGTGGTTAATGCCCTGAGAGAGAAAAGATGGTGGAGAGCAAGATGGTTTATGGCCAGCAACTTGGTTGGAATGGACATAAAAATAGAAAAGAACTTAGTATATTGACATGCCTTTTTGCCTGTATAATGGGATTTTTTTAAGTCACTACAATATGATGAGTTAGCAAGTAAATTTTATTGTTACATATGCATATACATATACATATGCATTACATATACATATGAGAAGTTTTTACAAAGTAGAAGTGATGCAAGGAGGGAAGAGTATATGAAGAAAAAGAGAGAGGTTAAGAGAGTGGTGAAGCAATGTAAAAAGAGACCAAATGAGAGAGTGGGTGAGATGTTATCAACAAATTTTGTTGAAAATAAGAAAAAGTTTTGGAGTGAGATTAACAAGTTAAGGAAGCCTAGAGAACAAATGGATTTGTCAGTTAAAAATAGGAGAGGAGAGTTATTAAATGGAGAGTTAGAGGTATTGGGAAGATGGAGGGAATATTTTGAGGAATTGTTAAATGTTGATGAAGATAGGGAAGCTGTGATTTCGTGTATAGGGCAAGGAGGAATAACATCTTGTAGGAGTGAGGAAGAGCCAGTTGTGAGTGTGGGGAAAGTTCGTGAGGCAGTAGGTAAAATGAAAGTGGGTAAGGCAGCTGGGATTGATGGGATAAAGATAGAAATGTTAAAAGCAGGTGGGGATGTAATTTTGGAGTGGTTGGTGCAATTATTTAATAAATGTATGGAAGAGGGTAAGGTACCTAGGGATTGGCAGAGAGCATGCATAGTTCCTTTGTATAAAGGCAAAGGGGACAAAAGAGAGTGCAAAAATTATAGGGGGATAAGTCTGTTGAGTATACCTGGTAAAGTGTATGGTAGAGTTATTATTGAAAGAATTAAGAGTAAGACGGAGAATAGGATAGCAGATGAACAAGGAGGCTTTAGGAAAGGTAGGGGATGTGTGGACCAGGTGTTTACAGTGAAACATATAAGTGAACAGTATTTAGATAAGGCTAAAGAGGTCTTTGTGGCATTTATGGATTTGGAAAAGGCATATGACAGGGTGGATAGGGGGGCAATGTGGCAGATGTTGCAGGTGTATGGTGTAGGAGGTAGGTTACTGAAAGCAGTGAAGAGTTTTTACGAGGATAGTGAGGCTCAAGTTAGAGTATGTAGGAAAGAGGGAAATTAGTTCCCAGTAAAAGTAGGCCTTAGACAAGGATGTGTGATGTCACCGTGGTTGTTTAATATATTTATAGATGGGGTTGTAAGAGAAGTAAATGCGAGGGTCTTGGCAAGAGGCGTGGAGTTAAAAAATAAAGAATCACACATAAAGTGGGAGTTGTCACAGTTGCTCTTTGCTGATGACACTGTGCTCTTGGGAGATTCTGAAGAGAAGTTGCAGAGATTGGTGGATGAATTTGGTAAGGTGTGCAAAAGAAGAAAATTAAAAGTGAATACAGGAAAGAGTAAGGTAATGAGGATAACTAAAAGATTAGGTGATGAAAGATTGTATATCAGATTGGAGGGAGAGAGTATGGAGGAGGTGAATGTATTCAGATATTTGGGAGTGGACGTGTCAGCGGATGGGTCTATGAAAAATGAGGTGAATCATAGAATTGATGAGGGGAAAAGGGTGAGTGGTGCACTTGGAGTCTGTGGAGACAAAGAACTTTGTCCTTGGAGGCAAAGAGGGGAATGTATGAGAGTATAGTTTTACTAATGCTCTTATATGGGTGTGAAGCATGGGTGATGAATGTTGCAGCGAGGAGAAGGCTGGAGGCAGTGGAGATGTCATGTCTGAGGGCAATGTGTGGTGTGAATATAATGCAGAGAATTCGTAGTTTGGAAGTTAGGAGGAGGTGCGAGATTACCAAAACTGTTGTCCAGAGGGCTGGGGAAGGGTTGTTGAGGTGGTTCGGACATGTAGAGAGAATGGAGCGAAACAGAATGACTTCAAGAGTGTATCAGTCTGTAGTGGAAGGAAGGCGGGGTAGGGGTCGGCCTAGGAAAGGTTGGAGGGAGGGGGTAAAGGAGGTTTTGTGTGCGAGGGGCTTGGACTTCCAGCAGGCATGTGTGAGCGTGTTTGATAGGAGTGAATGGATACAAATGGTTTTTAATACTTGACGTGCTGTTGGAGTGTGAGCAAAGTAACATTTATGAAGGGGTTCAGGGAAACCGGCAGGCCGGACTTGAGTCCTGGAGATGGGAAGTACAGTGCCTGCACTCTGAAGGAGGGGTGTTAATGTTGCAGTTTAAAAACTGTAGTGTAAAGCACCCTTCTGGCAAGACAGTGATGGAGTGAATGATGGTGAAAGTTTTTCTTTTTCGGGCCACCCTGCCTTGGTGGGAATCGGCCAGTGTGATAATAAAAAAAAAAAAAATATGCAGTTTCTCAGAACTACAATTTGTCTCCTATGAACATTAATTTAATGTTAGTATTTCATGTGTACTATATATTTCAGGTATTTGATGAAGCTGTGAGGGCAGTACTCCGGCCAGAACCCATGAAGAGAAGACAGCGCAAGTGCTCAGTCCTCTAAGGTTGAAAAACTGGCTAGTCCCACCACTATCTCTAATGCTGTCTCCCCCATTCTGCCTCAGATTCCCAGTCAAGCGAGTATTAAGTCAGGTTTCTGCCCCATTTCCAACTAAAAGCAATATTTGTGACCAGATAGGTTATTTTCACCATTGGTGTTTTTCCGTAAACCTGCATTTTGAATTTTTTAATATTGTTATATTTGGCCTTGTATTTTCTAGCTGTGTTAAGCCAAATGTGTGATTATTTCTTTTTACATACATTTGATAGGGATTGTATGTAATCATGTGCAGCTGTTCTTGAAATAGTGTTGCTAGTTGGAAGCTGACTAGGAACTTCAGGATAATCTTTTTTGGAAAAGAATATGAAATGTAGAGAAATTAGTTCGGTATTACATGTATGGGTGTTTGTACAAATGTACATGTGCATTTGTGTGTGTGTGTGTGTGGATGCATGAGTGCTTGTGTGTGTGTAAATATACAGACATGCATATCTTTGTCTGTGAGTGTAAGTTATCCTACTTGAGCAGCAGCTGCTAATCAGTATAACTCTATCTTTGGGTACCAACAAGAGCTTATTCCTATTTATTGTTATCCAGTACATTCTAGAATGCACAATGCCATCTATATTATTAAGAAATTACTTTATGTTTTATATTTAATGTGTTGAAATGATGCATAATTTTTTTTAGTTACAATAATGCATGTGTTTGTTTTACTTGAAACCAAGCGTTTATGGTGTTTTACTCGTATCCAGTATATATCCAAAACTCAGCTGGCAAAAGGTTTAGATTGCTTTATTTTGAATTTCTCTACATTTTAAATAACTCTTGTTACTCATTAGAGAGACCCTGGAGTAATGTGAACAGCAACTGCTTTACAAAATACCTGTGATAATAGAGGAATCTGAATTGACCTGGCAGTATATTAACAGGGTTTGATTGGCTCTTCTGATAAAGAATTTGTATCTCAGAGTTTTAGATGTTTAATATTGTAAATAAGTAAATAATTCAACATTTCAAGACCAGTGAATGCCCTGGATAACTGAGGTGTTCATAATATATACAATCCACCAGTGAAACCTTCTTGTCCCCTTGAGGTTGGAGGTCCCTGCCTCCTTTACCCCTCAGATTCCTGTTTCCCTTACCAAACCTTGTTTATGACCTGCACTTTCATGTCTCAACTCTAAAGGGGTTAACAAGTTTTAGCTCTGGGTTAGAGTCCCTATGAAGCTCTTACACTGCAGTTCAAACTCACCAGGTTCTAGAAAGCAAGCCTTGCATTGCCCTACAGGCAGTTGTAGCTGTGTGGTGTGATATCAGAGATTCAGTACTCGACACTCTGTTGGCTAGGTGCAACTTTCTCTGCTAATTTGTAATTAAAAGAAGGGTGCAGAGTTTCCTTTTATGCCTGATCTCGGATCATTTTCACGGCTCTTTTTTTTAACATGTACACTTAAAACGGCAACTACTGATAGCTGTGAAACTTTGTTTCTGGCTGCCTTTCATTGACATGTAAAAATTTTATATTTCATCAACGTTGTGTAGTGTATCTTATTAATGATTTACCTTTTATTTGTGAGATGGTAACACTAAATAGAATTAGTTAAGTTTCCTTCATTTGTAAAAGATAAGTATGTTTTAATATGTCCGTTTATGTCATTACTTTGCTTAAATTACCAAATTATGATCCCCCTCCCCCTTAGAATATCCTTAGCATGAGATATTATAGTTGAAGGGGGTCCAGTTGCTGAATTATGTCCAGTCTTAGTGTTCCACTGGACAGTCAAAAGTATCAGTGTCTAATTCATGGTGCTTCTGTGTTTTACAACTCTTTCTTATTCTTTCATAAGGCCATTATTATCTCTTCAGTTATTGTATAAGTTGTCATAGAAATGAACAAGTAAATTTTAATATATAATTTTTTTTTTTTTTTTTTTTTTTTTTTTTTTTTTTTTTTTTTTTTTTTTTTTTTTTTTTTTTTTTTTAGCTCTTTCAAGTTGTCGATTATCATCATAGTTTGGGTGAAAGATTCATACCAAAAGCAATGAACTAAAGGAAGGCTGAGTGCAGCAAGTAAATTGGTCTCCAAAATTCATAATAAGTATTACATGTATTGCTGACTAGTAATAAATGTTAAACCCATATATATAAATTGTAGTTGCATGGACAAAAGCAAATCGTGTGATTTATATTCTCAGGCTATAGTCAAGTTTATTTGAATAAAACAATTACCGTGTCTTAAGAAAGTTTTGTTTAACTGTCAGCCTTCTTTAAATATAAGATATTTGCAATATAATCATCAAATTATTGTAAATATAGATAGCATTAATAGAGCTTAACCTTGTTTTTAAGCATAATTTTACACAGGCACGGTTAAAGTAAATAAAAATCCAAGTATTGAGTCTTAATGATGATGGTCATGCATATTGTACTCTTAATGAAACATAACAGAACTAGAATATATATGTAATCAAAACTTCACTATTTTAACCAATTAGACCATTGGATTAGACACAAGTTTCTTAAGCATTAGCACAGTTTGTCAGTTTCTCACAAATCTTGAAAAAAAAAAAATGTTAATTTTATTCAAGGTGAATATTGCACAGCATACTTAAGATTCACTGAAAGTTATAATCTTTGATTCTCTTTAATTTTCTGAGGTAAGTGAAAAGTCTTGAAGATATTATCTACCACTCTTGTATACATCAGTGAATATAATTTCAGAAATTTTGAAAAAAATGAGGGGGTATATTGTACACAAAAGTTTCTGATAAGTTTATTAAGTGATAAACTAAATATCAGCATGAAGTAATACTGTTCTTGGAATGTGGATTGAGTGATTTGTAGCAAGTTGATTCATTGCATTCCATAGATATGCTCTACCAGTAACTAACATTAAAGCTATTCAAAATGGTTTACTGTAATACTTGACCTAAGTGTGTTCTATGTCAAATTACCAAAGGTTTGATATTAGTTCTTTTATCAGAGGAAGTTCCTCAGCATAAAGTTATATTTATTCTGTTTACATTCAAGAATGACAAAGGCTCAACTAACTATATGCATAATTATTATAGCCAAACAAGGCACATCAGTTACTTAGTGTACATGAGCTTTTGCATATATGCTCTAGGACAGCAGCTTGGATTGGTATCTTATAGTTTGGAGGGTCATTTGAATTGTGATGTTTGTACACTTGTGGAAAGGCAGCTAGAGAATAAGTGATATTGAGTATTTCCTTCTTTGTATCACCCTGCTAGGATGGGAAATGCTGATGTGTTGATAAAAAATATAGCAGCAGCATGCTCAATTTGTAATATTTAAAAGATGCATTTTTTTTTTACTTTAGCATGCCTAACATGAAGCCTAAACTTTAAGGTTTGATTTTTTCAAAAATAAGTTCTGTTTTTAATCAGGGGAATGTCTTGTTATGCAGATAATTGATTTCCTCTTAAGATACAGTTTGCTTGTTTTAGGAGTAATCTAACATAATCAGTTGACATTCATCGCTCTAGTTATTTAATGTAATAGCTGTCAATTAATCAGTTATCACTAGAGTTCAGTTCATCACGTTGCATCCATTACAGGTACAAAAATAAATTCTGCATTTTATTCTTGTGTCATTTGTGGAAATATGCATACAGGTGTCTGCATGAAGAGTCTGTAATAGTAGACTGTATACATATGTTTCGTTTATATATTCTTAAGGGTTATTTTTTGCTGAATTTATGCTTCTGATATTACTTAATTTGACATGTAAGATATGTGAAGAGGTTGCAAAAACAAAAATTTATTAGTATGTCATAAAATATTTTCTTTTTATTGAGGGTTCTTTATTATTATATTATTATTATTATTATTATTATTATTATTATTATTATTATTAACCTGGGACTTGTTTGGGGTAATGAATGTGGTGTCCACCTTAACCTACATTCATTAAGTATATACACATAAACAGAGAAACACACATTTGTGCATGACTAGGTACACAAGCGTGGAGAGAAGTGGTGCACTCCTCTTGTATTTGTGATATTCTTCACTCTAGCATTTCAGCTGAGTAATGTTTATAACTGTTTATTTAAATTCTCTTGATTCCTCTACAAATACTGCATCAGTGGTAGCAAGATTCTGTATTTGGTTTAGCCCTCTGTCCCTAAGATGAACCTCTCTCTCTTGTGTTCCAGATATCAGGTCTTCTAATTATTTCAGGAATAGCAATGTGCTGTAGGTCCATTGTGATATTGTGCTAACATGGCAGAAATGTGCCCTATGATGTGTTTTCATGCGGTTGCAATGTAATTTAATTCAAGTATTTGTGTAGAGGGTGTTGCATTTAGTTCATTAATTTTACTTCAGAATAGTGATATTATAGGGATTGTTACCAAACAAAATTTGGGACTAGTGCTGGTGCATCTGATCCTGGGATCATGCAAGGTAGGTAGAACTTGTTGCAGAAAGATTAATCACATCAAAAATCTATACTTAAATGTTAAATTTCTGAGAGGTTGCCACCCTACATAGCTTTGACAGGTACTGCAGCTTTACCATTTTTTATAACTACAGTAATGAGAGTCCACTGGAATGTGAAAATATAAAATACATTACTACTTAAAGTACCTTGTAAATATGACAATTATGTTTCTAGTTTATTTTTCATTGATACTGTTCCATACATGAAGTAATTTTTGTCACTGGCTAGTTTCTGAATATTAATGAAGTACTGTATATCAATTTTTTTAGCTGTGAATTAAGGTATTTAATTTAATAATGGAGACAACAAAAAAACTATAACTAGCTTTAAAACTCAAATTCTGGCATACAAAACCTTTAGCAGCAAGTGAGGATATGAGTGCATGTTCTTTAAATATATATTTATTAGGTTCAGTTGTATGTCCAAGATTGTATTGTATATGTATATATCTATATAATTTTTTTTTTTTATTGCATGCTTTTGAATCTTGAGATAATAAATTATTTAAATTTGGGTTTCCCTTGAAAAATGACTTGATAGTATGTAATGACAGAGGCATACTACATGTTGCTGCTATTTTTTAGGTAACCCAAAAGCCACAAAGCAGATAATGTGTCTTGTCTCCATGGTGACAGGGGTTAATCACAGAAAATTGCTAATACCTACAATTACATCAGGTCTTCTGATACTCAGCTGGTGGCTAAGAGTTCTTTACTGTGCTTTATATTTTCAGAGTATTTTTTATATTTATCCCACTTGTAGGATATTCATGCACTTGTAGGTCACATTGCAGCTTCACGAACTTCAAATTAACCAAATTGTGTGTGTCTTAATGAAAAACATGCTTCAAAATATTCATACTTACTCGTACACATACATGCATGCATACATACTTGCATGCATACACACATATACATACATCAGGACACAGTACATCCCAACACAAAAGTGTAAGAAAACTGGTCATTGGTATAAATGACACAACTTGAAAATAAAATAAGAGAAGTATTTATATACAGTCTTCATTAATTTATTTGAATTTGTTCCCTAAACATGTACTATATGTACTATATGTTAGGCTTTTTAGGCAAAACTTTGCATCTTAGCTTATTTGGCAAGGATCACCTTAGCTTCTTGCAAAACAAGCAGAGTTTATGTTCATTTTTCTACTGTGGAAAATTGAAGTGCTGCATTGATGATAATGTTAAATAAAGTTAGGCTAAAGATGCCTGTGTTTGGGATTAAGCTACCGTATATACAGTAAGGTATTCTAGTATAACTCCAGATTTTTTCCAAAGAATCCTTAATTTTTTGCACATCATTTATAAATATGACAGCTTTTGATGACTTCAGAACAGGTCAGATGGTCCTGATGCAGTAACTATTAGGGCTGAAACTTGAAGAAAGTAGTGAAAATGTAAAATGGGGCCAAAAACTTCAAAATATTTTGGATAAAAATAGAGATAATCAAATGCTAGGCATATCTAATTCACATCAAATTATTAATAATAATAGTAGTAATAGCAGGTGGGGATATAGTTTTGGAGTGGTTGGTGCAATTGTTTAATAAATGTATGGAAGAGGGTAAGGTACCTAGGGATTGGCAGAGAGCATGCATAGTTCCTTTGTATAAAGGCAAAGGGGATAAAAGAGAGTGCAAAAATTATAGGGGGATAAGTCTGTTGAGTGTACCTGGTAAAGTGTATGGTAGAGTTATAATTGAAAGAATTAAGAGTAAGACGGAGAATAGGATAGCAGATGAACAAGGAGGCTTTAGGAAAGGTAGGGGGTGTTGGACCAGGTGTTTACAGTGAAACATATAAGTGAACAGTATTTAGATAAGGCTAAAGAGGTCTTTGTGCATTTATGGATTTGGAAAAGGCGTATGACAGGGTGGATAGGGGGGCAATGTGGCAGATGTTGCAAGTGTATGGTGTAGGAGGTAGGTTACTGAAAGCAGTGAGAGTTTTTACGAGGATAGTGAGGCTCAAGTTAGAGTATGTAGGAAAGAGGGAAATTTTTTCCCAGTAAAAGTAGGCCTTAGACAAGGATGTGTGATGTCACCGTGGTTGTTTAATATATTTATAGATGGGGTTGTAAGAGAAGTAAATGCGAGGGTCTTGGCAAGAGGCGTGGAGTTAAAAGATAAAGAATCACACACAAAGTGGGAGTTGTCACAGCTGCTCTTTGCTGATGACACTGTGCTCTTGGGAGATTCTGAAGAGAAGTTGCAGAGATTGGTGGATGAATTTGGTAGGGTGTGCAAAAGAAGAAAATTAAAGGTGAATACAGGAAAGAGTAAGGTTATGAGGATAACAAAAAGATTAGGTGATGAAAGATTGAATATCAGATTGGAGGGAGAGAGTATGGAGGAGGTGAACGTATTCAGATATTTGGGAGTGGAAAGTGTCAGCGGATGGGTCTATGAAAGATGAGGTGAATCATAGAATTGATGAGGGAAAAAGAGTGAGTGGTGCACTTAGGAGTCTGTGGAGACAAAGAACTTTGTCCTTGGAGGCAAAGAGGGAATGTATGAGAGTATAGTTTTACCAACGCTCTTATATGGGTGTGAAGCGTGGGTGATGAATGTTGCAGCGAGGAGAAGGCTGGAGGCAGTGGAGATGTCATGTCTGAGGGCAATGTGTGGTGTGAATATAATGCAGAGAATTCGTAGTTTGGAAGTTAGGAGGAGGTGCGGGATTACCAAAACTGTTGTCCAGAGGGCTGAGGAAGGGTTGTTGAGGTGGTTCGGACATGTAGAGAGAATGGAGCGAAACAGAATGACTTCAAGAGTGTATCAGTCTGTAGTGGAAGGAAGGCGGGGTAGGGGTCGGCCTAGGAAGGGGTTTGGGGGGAGGGGGTAAAGGAGGTTTTGTGTGCGAGGGCTTTGGGCTTCCAGCAGGCATGCTTGAGCGTGTTTGATAGGAGTGAATGGAGACAAATGGTTTTTAATACTTGACGTGCTGTTGGAGTGTGAGCAAAGTAACATTTATGAAGGGATTCAGGGAAACCGGCAGGCCGGACTTGAGTCCTGGAGATGGGAAGTACAGTGCCTGCACTCTGAAGGAGGGGTGTTAATGTTGCAGTTTAAAAACTGTAGTGTAAAGCACCCTTCTGGCAAGACAGTGATGGAGTGAATGATGGTGAAAGTTTTTCTTTTTTGGGCCACCCTGCCTTGGTGGGAATCGGCCGGTGTGATAATAAAAAATAATATAAAAAAAATAAGTAATAGTTTGGGACTTTGTTGAGCACTGGTTCTTTCACAAACTTTACAAGTGCGCAAACACTAAACCATAAATGCAACAACAATAATGAAGAAATGCTAAAAATTTATTCAAGAGTAACAGTATAGTCATCAGGATCATAAGTTCTGGAGAAGAGATGTGCTTCCAACTGAGATTTGGAAGCATGAACAAATTCCTGACTCTTTAATAGACACTGGCAACCTGTTAAAAAATCAAGGAACTGCATAAGAAAGGCTCTTTCTGTGAATAATTTCTTCCTTACAGCATGAGGCTATTGGGGAGAAGTATTTTCTGACTGAACAGAGATTACGAATATGAAAACTGCAAGACTGAACAACTTGATTGATTTAACTAACACAATGAAGAATCCAAATAGATACTCAGATCTCTCGCTGCTCCCACAGGTAGCTATCCAGATCCTTTCCTGATCAAACAAGCTGCAACCTGTTAGTACCATAATCAAAGAAACTAAAATCTCCATTTTCTACTCCTCAGAGGTTTCTCATGATAATCAAAAATCTATTTTTACCTTCATGTGTTCTTTACACAAGAACATGTAAGAATAGAAGAATGCCTCAGTAATCCTATTAGCTCATACTAAGCAGGTCCTCACACCTATCCATTTTTTAATAGAACAGAGGAACACTGCAGCAAGTCTACTGGCTCATGCTAGGCAAGTCCCACTTGCATCCAACTATTTCCGTTTCATCTCTTGTCAGATTCGTACTATTCCTGCAAAATCATGAAAGTATTATTATTATTTCCAACAAAATATGATTACTCATGATCACCACTTGGTTGATCAGTAACATCTGGTTTCCCATTCACTTTGACAGTTGGTTGAGATTTCATATTTGTTTGATAGAGATTGGTAAAGAACTGTTGATTTATTATTTATTGTAGGCTGTTCTATTTGCCATCACAGATATCCAAATCTAGTTCTTGTCAGTTGTTAACAGGTAGAGAAGGACAAGAAAATAACTAGTTGGATGAATTATAATGTAGCCACCTGGCCCAGTGGTTTATGCACTAGCCTGGAGTTTTATGACTCGCTTGTCATGGGTTCTAACCCCATCCATACAGGGGTTTGTTGGCAATTGCGTTATTATGATTTCATGAGTCAAGATGACGGCTTCAAGGGAACAAGAGCTAGAGTTTGCTATGGCCATGGCTGGCAGAAGATTCATCTGTAAAAACTTGCATTTGTGGTCACAGTGGGGGCCCTGTGTTCCTCCCAATGGTGTATAAATATACCTAGTTGGATGAATCTTAATGTAGCCAGCTGGTTCAGTGGCTTACACACTGGCCCGGAGTTTTACAACTCGCTTGCCTTTTTTTTTTTATATTATTTTTTATTGTCCTCACACATGACTCACTCTCCCTTTCTACATAGTTACCTTCCCAACACCATTCACTTATGGCCAGACCATACCTTCACGCTTAACAGTGAGAGGGTGGAGATCATATGTAGAACTCTGTCTTGAATGGATATCTGTATTGGGAACATGAATGCTGAATAAAGTTAGAGAGAAAACTGTGTTAGTCAAGACAGTGGTCCATGAAAAAACTAGATTCACTATTGTGCTGTCATGCATGGCTGACAGTATTAAATTGGAGCTAATGGTAGTTTTCAAGAGAAAAACAGTATTCCCAAAATGTAGTCATCCATGTTCACAATAAAAGATGAATGGATTAAGATGGATTAAAAAAATGTTGCTACAGAAAGTTTGAAATTTCCAACCAAGAATATTATGCAAGGAAAAGTCTCATCATATGAGATATGTTTAAGGCACAATAATGTTGCTAGAGATCAGCTACAAAATACCAATAATATATAACAAACCTTTCACAACCATGGGATGCCTTTATAAATAAAGTTTTCAAGGGTCATATGAGAAAGAAATGGAACATTAGGATGATGGATTTAGCACTTGTGAGTTATATTATTGGATGAAGAAAGGAGAGATGTTTACCAAAATAATCAGCACAAGGGCTCCAATATAATGCAAATGGATTGTACAGAGGGTAGAGGTGAAGTCTGAGCTGAAATTATTAGATTTAAGAGATGTAATGTCCCCAGTTCACTTGAGGGGACACATGACATTTTGTGGAATGAAATGTCTGACGATGAAGTAAATGATGATGATGATAATTCATATGATAAAATTGAATTAGAATGAGACCCTTTCGAGTTTAGCAGTTCATTTTATTACATTATTATTATTAATAGATTAGGATGAGTTAAATTGGCACTGAGGATGACCAACAGAATAATTTGATGGATTTTAATAAACTGAATAGAAATATTTGTTTACATTACCCTATGCAGTTATAATTTGCATTTCATAAGTGTTTGAAAAGAGAAATACAATATTAGTCTTGAGGATGGGAGCAGTTGCCAGTTGGGCAAGTCTGCAGTCATCAGCTTTCGTTACTTTTAACAAACTACAACCCTTGTAGGTTTAGTGCTTTTTTTTATTATAATAATAATGTAATAATTTAACATACTAAGAGAAATAGTTGGTGCAAGTGAAACTACTGGCTGTTATCAAATTTATTTGTATATTTAAGTTAGAATATTAGTGTGTGTTTTTATCTATGATGCGCTAAACATGTAAGAATGTAGTGTACAGTAGGCCCAAAATGGATGAAGGTTTGAACCCCTCAGAATAGTATGAATAAATCAACTGTTTCCCCTACTTTTTAAAAATTTTGTTTTAAAACCTCAACCTACTCTCGAGTACATATATGGTATATTAGGCAGCTCAAATTTTGAAAAAATTATGCTAGGTTGCCCCCTCAAGGGAGGTTCCTTAAAGCCAGTGAGGGGCTTGTTCCAAGGATTTGACCTTTGGTTTTTAACCTTTGGTTTTTAGTGCTTGATTTGGTTATATTATTATTCGAAGGATTTGGACCTGAACTTTTCTTCCTTGAACTGAAGCAGACTGTTATTCTCCAGGCTCTATTTGATTCCTTGTTAG